TTTCTTATTCTCATAGATAATCATAAGGCTTCATAAAATTTTAAAAATAAAAAGAATTTTTATTTTTATTCAAACATTTCTATAACTAAACTAATATGAATTGTATCATTAAAAAAAATTGAGTTTTTTTTAGAAACATTCATTAAGTTATATATGAAAATTTATCAACATGATGTTGATAGATTAATTTTTCCATGGAATGAATTTTCAGGTACTTGAAATTCATGTTGTTCATCTTTGTGTATTCGTTTTTTTTGACGAATAATTACAATTTGTTCACGTATCATTGGATATTCACAAATTGTTTTGACTTTTTCACAGACAATTTCTAAAATATTTTGTTCTTGATTCATTTGTATTTTATTCATTTGTTCTTTATAATTGACAAGAAGTTTTTCTAATTCTTCAACTAATTGTAAATTTAAATGATTTGTTTTTTGTTCAATACAAATCTGTTTTTCTTCATTAATCATTCGTAATAGACCTTGTAGAAAAGGATCTTCAGTTGTTGAATGAGCAATATTAATAAGAAAATAAGCAAATTCAACACTTGCAATATTTAATTGATTAAGAAGATTAGTCATTTCATTTTCTTTATAATTTGATGAATTATTTATAATTTTATATATAAGTATATAATCAATAGCAATATGTTGATTATATGTACATGGACATATCGAACATTTATTTTGAAATTCATGTATAACATCAGGTAAAATCCAAAAATTATTCAATTGAAATGGATTTCGTTTACATACAGTACAAAACATACTTGAACGTGAAATAACTTGTGGATATAATTCAATAGATTTATTTGATGAATCTATTTTCCATAGAATTATATTTCGAAGTATATTTCTCATAGTTTCTAATATTGGACGAATCAATTGAATGATTTCAATTTGAATATATTTAATAGATTTCCATGAATTAGATAAAACATAAGAATTAAGTTTTGTAGAAATATAATTAATAAGACGATTTGATTCATTGACAGATATTGTCCAACTCATTTCATATTCTTTATTTTCTTCATCGTTAAATTCAATATTATTTTTTAATGCAACTAAATATCGAAATGATTCATTATCAAAACAAAATGTATTTTCTTTATTAAATGGTATATCATTAATTGATATTGAATTTAACATAGTACGAAGTAATGGTGCTGTACTTCCTGGTTGATAAAAAGTTGAACGAGCATTTGTAAAACAAAAAATTATATTTTTTCGAATATTTGAATTTAATAAATCAAATAATTGTAAAAGACATGTACGAAAAAATATATGAAGTCTTGATATATTTGGTTTAAGAAGAAAACATACAGCATCTATATGTGTTAGATTACATATATAGTCTAAAATATGTTGCATATTTATTTCATCTTGATCTATACCACGTGTATCACCAAAACCAGGTGTATCAATAATACGTAAGTTTTTTCCAATAATATGATTCATAGAAAATAGATATGAACGACAATATTGTGTTACAGATTGACCTGGATGATTGAAATCTTCATTCATATTTGAATTATCTAAATTACCATATTTAACAATATGTTCTTGAAAATTATCACCAGTTGTTATAAGAAACGATACAGGAATAAGTACAACAGGTTGATTTGATTTAGCTTGTTGAAGTGTATCAAATGTTAGATAATTAACAAAAGCATTGATAAATGTAGATTTTCCAACACCTGTCTCACCAATAAGAAGAATATTAATAACATTTTCGTTCGATCGTGTTGCTTCTACTGCTATTGATGATGATGATGTTTGTTTTTTTGTCAATGGTTCATATGGAATTTGTTTCGTTAGTTTATTATCTAATGATAAGATTATCATATCAGGTAATAGAAAAGGACAATAAGAAAAATCAGCATAGAAAATCTGTAATTTTCGATTTGTTAAACGTTCTGAAGCTAATTCACTACATAATCGACTAAATTTTGATCGATTATTATCATTTAAAATATCAGCAGAACAAAGAATACGAATATGTGAATTATCTTTTATTAAAATTTGTTCTAAATATTGTATACTACGATTCATATCTAAATTATATCGAGCAATATTAAAATAATTGAAATGTTGTAATTTTAAATGATCAATAAATCGTGCTTTTGGTTCTAAATCTTTTAAATATTGACTTAATTCATTTAATATATTATTTAATTCAAGTTGTAATTCATTACGTAATTTTTGATTTGCTAAATTATTCCGTGTATTAATATATAATTTAGATATTCGTTCAATTTCATACATATATTTATGTATCATACGTATTTGTAATTTTTGTGCTTTATGAAGTCTTTCTTTAAGATATCCACGTAATAGTTGTGGTAAATCATGATTGATTAATACATCGAAATTTTTTAGTCTAGTTGCTAATTCAAGAAAATATTGATCAGAATCTTGATTAGCATTAAAAGATTTTGGTATAATGGTAAATCCAGATCCAATATTTTGTGGATAATTCCATCGAATAAATTGAAAATTCGACATATATAAATCGATATTTTAATTCTATATTAAAAAAAAAAATAATAATAATAAAAATCTTAAAAGCACTATAAGATTCTATTTAGATATTATCAGTAATATATAAGATTTTGCATATTTACACTTATTATTTTCATAAAATAAAAAAAAAAAAGATGTAAGTTTCATAAAATCTGTAACAATCAAGTTTTTCTTGAATTAACATACGCAATATAATAATCTATAGTAGGAGGAATACTTTAAAAAACAAAACTCTTGCTCTATATTTTAACACTTATTTCGACATTCATATCTTACAAATACATAATTCTATCATAATAAACACATGCAAACAAATTATTTTTCATGTTTGCCTGTGCTAATATATTACAAAATGATGCATAAAAAAAAATTCGATTTTACATACACCCGTGGGCAAAAGTCTTTCCCCCCTCCCCCTTTTTTTTTCTTCATTACATATTTAGTATTGAGTTTTTAGTCAATCGAAAGAGTGAAATCAGGAGTTTATTTTGCATAGAGTACAACTGATCGTCATTCGGTTTATTCAAGGTTGCTACATGAGTATTATAATGGTAGCGACTGTCACAGTCATCTATGAAGTTTTATTTGTGCATCGAATTTTAAGAATATTTTCAATATTTTTCGCGGTTTCATCCTTTATTATTGACTTAATATTTTCAATCGGACTAAGGGGAACATATCCATGATTAGTCAAAATTGTTTAGCCAATAATGGAAATAAAACGCAAAGAATATTAAAAAATATTCTCAAAATGCGATGTGCAAATAAAACTTCGCAGATGACTGTGACAGTTGCTACCATTATAATACTCATGTAGCAACCTTGAATAAACCGAATGACGATCAGTTGTACCCCATGCAAAATAAACTTCTGATTTCACTCTTTCGATTGACTAAAAACTCAATACTAAATATGTAATGAAGAAAAAAAAAAGGGGAGGGGGGAAAGACTTTTGCCCACGGGTGTATATGATTATTTGTATTGATTAATTATTGTAAAATTTTCATTAAAATTAATCAAATTGTATTCTTATCACGATACTAAATTTAAATTCGATTATATATAATTTGAAAAACAAATAAAAGATTATTTTACTCTATATTTATATTATAAAAATCAATATTTCTGTTTTATTTGTGTCAATCTCATAAATCGTATACAAATTTACCTTCATACTACTGACTTTTGTATTTTAATAGTATTGAAACAAATACCGTTTTAAGGTATCTATATTTAATGTTGTTTTTTTTCTTTTTTTTTGAGACAAAAAAAGAAAAGAACGACAAAAACATATAACCACTGATGTGTTCGAAAACAGCTTAGCAGAATGACAAAAATTCTTAATAAGTAACTAGAAAAAAAAACAAAAATCTACACTTATATATTTTTTTCTTGTGTTGATAAAAAAAATGTACGAGAAAATAAATTTAACCTTGACAAGATGATTGTTATTTAAGAAATAAAAAACAAAAAACAAAAAAACCTCAAAGTTTGAAAGTACAACATTCGAACATCCATATAAATTTATTACGATAGAAAAACAAAAAAAACAGAAATTTTACAGTTACATTTCGTTTTCTTTATATATATATATAATGTGTTTTGTAGTACTAAATCGAGATAGAAAGTTTCGCATCTAATCATATCTTCTATTGTCAACACTACTGTAAAAAAAAAAGAAAGATTCAAGGTTCTATCATATTAAACAAATGTACTATTCGACTTCTATTATAAAGATATTATAGTCCAATTATATAGTTTAAATACATGTCTACAGAATACAATGAAGCTGTTGCCCTTATTTATCAATATATATGTCAGTTTATAAATTAAGATTTACAGCTGATACATTTCGATAATTTTCATAAGAATATTCGTAAAAAAAAAGAGTTAGGAAATAAAGGACGATTACAAAGCTAGATAAGAAAAAAAAACGATATGTATCTTTATTACATACTTATAAAACATTATTTTATTTTATAGAGTCTGTCAGTTATACATATTTTACTAAATAGAAAAATTGACTCAATAGTTTTCAATAGTTCTATTGATAAATAAAATGATGTAGGATTTAATTTTGTGATATTTCATATGGTTCAGTCATTAATTTTTGTGTTTGTTTCATTGTGTCGAGTTGTATTTCTATTAGAGGATATGCACGAACGATTGTAATTTGTTTATCAATAAATGATAGATCGATCAATTGTTGATTGAACTTCAATTCTTCAATTCGATTTTCATATTGATATTTAAGTTGTATAAGTTCTTTGATTAACTGTAAATTTAGATGATTTGATTTTTGATTTTGACAAAGTTTATTTTCTTCATCAATCATTCGAATTAAACCAGATAAAAATAAATCATTTTTTGATATACGAGCAATATGAACGAGAAAATAATCAAATTCAGCACCAGCAAAACAAAGTTGATTAATCATATTTTTTATTTCATTTAACTGATTATTTATAGATTTATTCGAATATTCATAATTAAGTACATAATGTATAGAAATATGTTGCTCAATAGGACATGAACAAATAAGACATTTCTTTAAAATTTCATGTGGAATATTACGAGCAATCCAGAAATTATTAATTTGAAATGGATAAGGTTTGCATGAAAGACAAATACTAGCTGGACGATGAATAGCTTTTGAAATCATTGTTATAGATTTATTTATTTTACATAAAATAATATTTCGAAGACAATTTAATATTGTTTCTAACATTGGACGAATCATATGAGAAATTTCAATTTGTGCACGTTTAATTGATATCCATTGATTATTTAAATGACATTCCATAAGATTTTTATGAATATAATTAATAAGACGATTTGATTCTTTAACTGAAATTGACCAACTTTCTTTATAATCATGTTCTTCATCATCATTGAACTTAATACCATTTTGTAAAGCAACTAAATAACGAAATGATTCATTATCAAAACAGAATGTATTCATTTTTTTCAATGAAATATCATCAATTGAAAGTGATTTAAGCATAGTTTTAAGTAGAGGACCTGTATCTCCAGGTGTATAAAAAGTTGATCGAGCATTAGTAAAACAAAAAATAATATTTTGACGTACATTTGGACCAAGAAGATCTAATAATTGAATAAAACACATACGAAAAAATGTATGAAATTCAGATGTATTTGGTTTAAGAAGAAAACATATAGCATTTAAATGTGTAAGATTATTAATATATTCTAAAATATCTTGCATATTAAGATCATCTTGATCAATACCACGTGTATCACCAAAACCAGGTGTATCAATAATACATAATTTTTTATTATCATTATCATTAAAATAAAATTCATAAGTTCGACAATGTTGTGTAACTGATTCACCCGGATGATCAAAATCTTCATTATTTAAAGTATCAAAATCTCCAAATTTAACTAAACATTCTTCAAAATTATCACCAATTGTCATTAAAAATGAAACAGGTATGAGTACAACAGGTGTATTCGATTGTGCTTGTTCAAATGTTTGAAATTTAAGATAATTAACAAATGCATTAATAAAAGTCGATTTACCAACTCCTGTTTCACCAAGTAGAAGAATATTGATATTCTCATTGGTTATTGACGAAGATGATAGTTGTTGTAAAGTTGAAGTTTTACTTTCCGTCGATATAGATGTATTGATTTTCGACATTATAGAAGATGTTCTCTTCTGATTGTTTTTTTCTTTATTATTCATTTGACTTGTTATTAATATTTCTATGTCTTTGAGTTCAACAGAAGAATATGAAAAATCAGCATAGATTAGACATAAATTTTTATTATCTTTGTATTCTTCTGCTAGTTGACTACGTAGATTATTAATCTTTGCTGTATTTTTCTTATTTAATGTATCATTAGTACAAAGAATTTTATTATTTTCATTTTTTATCTTCAACTTACATAGCAATGTCTTTTTATAATTAGATTTATTTAGATTTAATTCTGATACATTGCAATATTCAAAATGTTGATTTTTGAGGTCAATAATCAATTGTTCTTTATGTTTGAAATCATCTAAATCTTCTTGTAAGATCTTAGCAGATGTTTCAAATTTTTTATGTTCTACATGATTAAAAAATTGATCGTTCTTTGAAGCACCAGTTCGATTTTTTCGTATGTCAATAATCCATTTACGTAATCGAACAATGATATGTTCACATTTTTCGAATAATGTTAACCATTGATGTTGTTTTTCACGTATCTGACCTTCAATATTGTTATATACTAATCTATTGTTAAAGAAATCAAGAGAATATTTTAGATTTTTAAGTGTATCGGATAAATATATTAAATATTGTTCAATTTCAGTATCCAATTCTGAAGACAAACAATTAAAGTTAACACTAGGATGATCAATATCTGGAAATAGCCATTTTATAGGTTGAAGAGTATACATTATTGGATGATGTATACTTTGGTTTTTTTTGTCATCAATATATAAATAAACGTCATGTATTGTAGATAATTGTATTAGATAAGGTATATTTGAATAAACCATAGTGTTTGTTATTTGTTCCAAAGTATTTTCGTCATCTGAACTGAGTATCAAAGTATTTTGTTGATTATTTAAATGAGTACAAATTCTTTGAAGTACATTATCAATTTCTTTTACAATAGTATTTTCAAATGGCAGCTGTAAAACTACAACAATATCAATACCATAACTGATACCAGCTATTATGTGAGTGGCTGCAGCTGTAGATTTGACTAATTTAATCATATTTTGTGTTTTATTTATTTTATCAGAAATTTGTTCTTTTTCATATACATAGGAGTAGAGTAAAAAACGATTATAGTCATTTATCGGATATGGATAATCAATAATAGAAGAAATACCATTATTTTCTGCTAGTCGTAACAATATACTTAATCGTAAACCTTCAGGTATATTAATTATTTGAAGAAAATTTCCATGTTGATTATTTTTACCTTTCTTAATTATACATTGTGGTTTTTTGATAACATCAGTCAACTTATTTTCCTCAATCCAAGGTAATTTCTCACATAAAATATCTCTATATCCATCATATAACGTACCAATGCATCCGTTTGGATCTATTGCCGTTCGATTTAAGAAAACGAATGCTGGCTTTTTTGCCATATAGCTGATGAATCGATGGTGTCTACCAAAACAAAATCAAATTTTATAAGAAAATATATTCAATCAAAAAAATACTGTTGATATAATGTGTGACATAGTGCTAGTTTTTTTTTTTGTTGTTGTTCTCAAATAGAATTGTGGATAATGAAAACTTCATTTCTGAATTTTATGTAAATATGTATTCAGAAATATTTATTTATATTGAAAGAAAAAGACTAAATATTTATTAAAATTTTAATAAAATCTTATTTTTTGTGATTTATTAAGATTCTTTCATCTATTTAATAGCTATTCATTATTAAATCGTTTTCAAATAGTTCTTCATATATATTCAAAATTTAAAGAATCTTATCAAACAAAATTATATATATATAAAAAAAGTAAATTTTTGTTAACTACGAAATGTGTTAACTTTCTTATTTCCTACCTTCTAAAAAAATGACTTATATATTTTTCTTTATGTTGTAATCTTGAGAATAAATATATTGTGTTGATATAACGCAATTTCTTTCATTTGCCAACTTTTCTTTTTTTTCATTTCTTTATAAAGGAAGACGAAAAAATAACAACATAAAGCAATGATGCTATTAAAAGGCTTTTAGCAGAATGGTTACAAAAAGAAAAGTCTTTTTTTTCATATGCATAAAATGACTTTTGTTATTCAATGAAGTATAGTAATTTTATTGTTGACAATAAAATATAATATGGAGAATTCCAACTTGGTCAATGTTTCTGTTATTTAATGGAGCAAAAAACAAAAACAAAAACAATTTTTCTTCTTTTCAATTTATCATAAGATGAATATTTTCAAATTCGTTTCTACAAAACGAGAATTCCTTTCGAAATGATAAAAATCTTTTGGAACTAGATTTTTGTCATTAGATAGAAAAATAGTTGCTCTTATGCTAATTACTTTCTTATCGAGTTATGAAAATCATATTAAGTAACTGATTCAGTGTTAGCATTTGGATCATGAAGAAATCTTGTAATTCCTCACATGTAACGGACAGTTGAAAGATGATCTAAATTGTTCCGGAAAGCTCGATATGAGATTAAAAACGAAGCACGAGTTACTTGTTTCTGTATTGCATTTTTGTCCTGTCGACATTCATTTTTGTGTGCCCTAATATATATAGCACTACGCATTAGAGTGATGACGGACAAAAAGAAAAGATTGGGTTTCATTTTGAAAATATGGAATATTTATATCTGGTGTATTGCTTTAGAGTGGGACGTGTTTTTCGAACAATAAAAGCGACAGATAGTACATCACAATATTAAGATGTTTTTGTTTTTGTACGTTGCTTTAATTGTCAGATATCGAATATATATAACATTTATCATTTATAGTATATCTTTTTAAAAGAAACCTGACACCCTAATACAAAAAAAAATGAATTTCGGCATTTTATGATCAAATCATTTATTTATCATTTTTGCATTTATTAGTTCAAGAAGTTTTTGCGTTTGTCGAATCATTTAAAAATTCACATTCATATTGTTTCATTATGATCTTTCGACTTTGTTTAATAGCATCCATTTGCTTTTGAATCATAGGATTTTTATAAATTGTTTGAATCAATACATTGATATCGTTCAGATTACTATGCTCTTGATTTCGCTCCAACGTCTCTATAGATTGTTGATATCTAGCCATCAATTCCATGAGTTTTTCCACTAATTTTGAATTCATTTCATTTCGCGTTTCACCAGTACATAGATCATTTTCCCGACTAATCATGTGTACTATATGAATTAAAAATGAATCATCTTTCGATGAACGAGCAACATTCATAAGAAAATAAGCAAACTCAGCACTTGCACGAAATAAAAGATCTAAGCTTTTCTTCATTTCTTCTTGATTGGTGTTTGGGCACCTTTCACAGTATGTGTAGTCAAGTTTATAGTCAATTCTAATATGTTGATCCGAAGGACATGCACAAGAGTAACATGTGTTTTGAATTTCATGTGGAAAATCCTTTATAATCCAGAATTTACCTAGTTTGATAATCGGACGTGGACATGTATAACAAACAGCAGCTGAACGATGAAGAACAATCGGATTTAGTTCGATCGATCCGTTTGATGTGTCCATCTTCCATGCGATTAAATTTTGAAAAATATTTCGCATTGTTTCTAACATTGGACGAATCATACAACTAATTTGGAGTTGAGTTTGTTTGATTGATTGTGATTCATCTTTTATAACATGAGACTTCAGCTCTCTACAAACGAAAGAAAGAAAATGATTTGATTCTGTGACTGATTTTGACCAACTATTTTCATATTCACTATAGTCCTGATCATTGAACTCAATGCTATTCTGTCGAGCAACCAAATATCGAAATGATTCATTATCAAAACAGAATGTATTTTGTTTTATGAATGGAATGTCACCAAATGAAAATGATTGGAGCATGGATTTGAGTAGTGGAGCTGTATCACCTGGAGTGTAAAATGTTGATCGTGCGTTAGTGAAACAGAAGACAATGTTTTGACGTGCATTTGGACCTAGAAGATCGAGTAGTTGAGTGAGACATGCTATGAAAAAGCTGTTAATTCGTGATGCATTTGGTTTAAGCAGAAAACATACAGCATTTAAATGTGTTAGTTCATTGATGTATTCTAAAATATGTTGCATATTAGCATCATCTTGACGAAGACCACGTGTATCACCAAAACCAGGTGTATCAATAATGCGTAATTTGGTTTTATTAGTATCATTAAGATGAAATACATAGGATTTACAATGTTGTGTTACTGATTGACCTGGATGATCAAAATCTTCATTGTTGAAACTATCCGAATTACCAAATTTTACTATGCACTCGTCAAAATTGTTTCCAACTGTCATAAGAAATGAAACAGGTATGAGTACAACAGGTTTACCTTGTTCAGCTTTATTAAGTGTTTCGAATGTAAGATAATTGACAAATGCATTAATAAATGTCGATTTGCCTACACCACTTTCACCAAGAAGAAGAATGTTAATAATTTCATTTGTTGGGGGTGGTACTGATAAAGTTGCTGTAGGTGCATTAGAAGCTTGTGTTTTTGTAGATGATGAGGATGAACATTGACTGTTTCTGTTTCTTTCGTTTTCTTGTTCAGACAATAACATTGATTGATCGTTGAGGGAAGAATTATCATTAGAACAAGTGTTTTGGTTTGGTTGGTTCTTCATAGTTGTTTTATGTTGTAACGTTTGCTCACTCTCATTGGGATTCGTTTTAGATTCAACAACTCTACTGCATTGGGACTGTGCGTTTTGTGCACTGTTGGTTAATTCTGTAATATTTTCTATAGCTTGTATTTTCTTCCAGAGTTCTCGAATATTCTCTTTGAACATTGTTTGATCCTTGTGTTTAAGTGCTTCATCGATCTCAGAGGCTTTCTTCTTCCCATTACGAATGTCAAAAATCAACGTTGCTAATCGTTTAATTCCGTTTTCGTACATTTCCTGTAAATTTTGCCATTCTTTTTTCACTTCTGTCAGCGATTCTTTGAAATGGTCTAACACCACTCTATTAGTATAACTATCAAGCAAATATTTCATTTTCTTGTGGTAGTTAGAAATCTCTATTAAATGTTCTTCTAACTTGTCACTGTCATGTTTGTCTAATGGAATGTATGATGGACATGGTTTATCTATATCATCATGCGACCATTCCATGGCTTGTAATGTGTATTCTAATGGGCGGTATGTGTCACGTTTTTGTTTCGATCCATCTATAAACTGACAGATTTCTAGAAGTGAAGTCATTTCCGTCAATTCAGTTATGTTTGAATATACTTTGGTTGAGGTAATATTTTGAACAAAATTTTCATCATCTTTAGTAAAAGCAGAAGCCACTTTAGAGTCCTTTAATCGAGTTGCAATTTTTCCAAGTGCAACATCGAGTTTTGCGGCAGTATTTTCTTTTGATGGCAGCTGTAGAACTATAAAAACATCAATGCCGAAGCTTACAGCAGTAATAATGTGCGTAGCATTGACGTCGTGTATTATTGATTTACAATGTTTTCTTATCTCTGTAGGATCGTCAGAAAGCTCTTGTTGTCGATCGCGATAAAAAATACGCATAAAACGAGTATATCTGTTAATTGGATGATGATGATCAATGAGTGCGGCTATTCCAGTTCGTGGGACTACTTTCAGTAGGAGATTTGGACGCAAATCTTCATCAATGTCGATCCACTTAAGAAGGTTTTGAGACTTATCTGTGTTACCATCAATAATTTCACATTCCACTGATTCGTGAAGCTGTACTTTTTTGATTTCACCGATCCTGTTTAATCGTTCTAGCACACAATCTCGATATACATCATAGAATGTGCCGATGTTTCCAGCAGGATTGATTGCTCTACGTTTAATCATAAGTAGTGACTTAATTCGCAAGCTTCCCAATGTGTACTTGTACTTCAGAGGTTGTAAATATATCTTGGTCACTGAAATAATCGAGAAGATAGTTATTTTAGTTGTAAATGAAGGAAAGATCTAATTAATAAGAAGTTATGTAATTACGAGAATCATATACACATAGATACGACCGGATCATTATAAAACTGAACTTGATCAATATTTCATAATGAATACTATGCTAGAGTATTGAAAACTTTTATGAAACTGAAAATCACGTTTACTATATAGTTTTCAAATTACGAAGTTTATCATTACTGATTATAGATATGATGTTCAAGACCTAATATATATGTCTTGCTTTCTAAACGGTGCAACTAAGATAATGTAAAACAATAGCTATGAGCGGAGTTTTACATCATTTGATGTTTTACTGTACAAGAAAGTTAGAGAAGTACAAAAGCTACTGTAAAATACTTCTATACTGTTGAAATGACAAGTTGAAGGAATAACACTATTGACATTCTAAATAAGTGTTCAGCGTTCAACTATACATATTTAAATCACCTTCGGCTTCAAAATTTGATCTGAATTTTGAATATATTACGAGGAGAAGCGGTACTTGAACTAACAAACTAGTAAAATTTAAGTTTTTTTTTTGACATTTCAATTACGCTCTATATAATAGTTACTAGAAAATATTTTTATAGAGTTTGTAACAAGCGTAATGGCTCTTCTTTATTGACTTTCACTATTGATTATTTAAAACTTGCGAACTATTTTTCATCACACAGATACTTTTCTTTCAGCATAAGTCAACTGATTTCAGTTAACACTGAATCATTCAAAAAATTTCATTTGTGTCTTTAATTTTGATAAATCATACTGAAGATACGAATATATCTTGATAAGAGTTTCATTGATCTATATTGAAACATTGAAGCAATACATTAACTATAGGTTGTAAAAAAAAATCCATCGATAAAACAAAATAAAGGTAATAAAATCATTGAAAAAAAGTTTTTTCTTTTCTCTTGTACTCTTTTTTTTTCTAAGTTTTTGATAAAAAAAAAACAAAACAAATCATATATCATTCTGTATTATGCATTGATGAAGAGCTATATATGTCTACGTTTTTTTTCATATTATTTTTCGACAATGATTTATAACAAATCTTCTATATTATGAAAGTTTAATTAATGTATTTTGCTTGTTATATCAATAAGAATATAAAATATATTTTTTTTGTTTTTGCTACTTTTCTTGTTTACGAATAAAAAAGTGAAGAAAATAGATTAATATCACCGCAATATTTATCAAAAAAACATTCGAAAACATCCATATTTTAAAACTCATCGAAGACATGATATTTTCAATTCTTAGTTTAGTAAAAATTACCTTATACTTTCTTATTTATGTTGATAAGTCGACGTATGATTATATATTTGAAAAATGTAACATTTTTTTTCTTACAACGTGCAAGTGTATTTTTACTTACTGATAAAGAACGGAAGAGAAAAAAAAAATAAAGCAATTATGTCAACAATGAGTTTTTGAAAAAAATGACAAAATATTTATCCAACAAACAAGAAAAACAATGATTTTTTTTTTCCATAATACAAGACGGAAAAATCCAAATTGTTAGATTTGTTTATTATGTAAAATTCTTTTTTTTTTTGCTAACACTACTAGAAATCTCATCATACTAAAATAAATATTATTATTCAATATATCAGATATTGTTAAAATCTAATGGTTATTTGAATATTTTCTTGATGACATAATTAATGAAACACTATATGAACTTGGTATTTATAAATAATGACGATTTGTTTATTTTATCTATACATAAATATGAACAAGTATATTACAAGATCTCTTGTTTAAATAATTCGTGTGAAAATTTTCAAACAGATTTTATTTAATAGTAGCAACTTTTATTATACAGCACGTAAAAAAAAACAGAAATGCTTTTTTTTTTTAATAATTGTATAGTCGTATATTTTGGAGATAGAGTAATGATGTAAAATATTTCTTTTTATCAATTGATTGTTTCGAGAAGATTTTTTTTCCTTAATATCACCCATTCTGCATTTTTTGCAATATTTCAACAAATGAAAATTTCAATTGCCAAAGGAGAGTAAAGAGTTCAGTTTAATTAATAACAATCGATATGAAATATGTTCCTTTATCTCTGAGGTTACTATTGATAAAGAATAAAATGATATTGTTATTTTATTATTGCATCTATCAACAATGTTTTTGACTAAGTCATTTTGTCGCATAATTGATCATTTGAATAAATTTCAATCGTAGACTTGAACATGAAAATCTATCTATGGCACCAAGATTATGTCATAAACTGTTTCTTTATCATTCACTCATCTTTATTTTTGCTGACATCACCTAAATATATATGAGTGAATTGTAACTTTTCTATACAATTGATATTTTTGGAGTATCTACGGTATAAGTTTCATTGCAATCGAACGATTTTAAAGTGGTTTCGTTTTGTATAATCTTCCAGACTCGTACCAAACTTCATATGTTTATATTGTATCGCTCGTAAGGTTCAGAGTTGACAGTTAAAAAACATAGTAGCTTTTATATGCGAGCTATATGCAAAGGAGACGCTTCTTTAACAGCTGAAGCAAATAGAAAAAAGAAATGTATTTAGATCATTTTTGTAGCTTTCATATCACTCTATCGACACATGTTGTTTACTGGTAGATACATCTTTCAATTTGTATACTTCTGCTCCGGACATTTGATGACAGACAGATTGTTTTTTTTAGATACAATGATCTAAATTTGCCGCTTCTATAAACTAGAAAAGACTTGAATAGAGAATTTTTTCATATTTTTATATTAGAAAAAAATTATTCTATTCATTTAGTTTGTACAGTACGACATTTTGAAACTTGTTTGGTCTATACCATATGAACATTTGTTCTGATTTCATTAAACACAAAGTATAATCAAATGTTTCACTCAGATTTGTTTACGTCTATTTTTAATTTTTTTTATAAAACGTTAAAATTCGCTTATATTTGTATACGACATATAGAGTTTTTATAAATTGATTCTTCATCATTTTAAAATCAAAAATGAATCGATAGATCGATATTAAAGATTGAACAATCTTAAAACAGTTCAATCGTTATTAAGAACTAAGATTAGCATTGATGTTGTAGTCAATTTGTGTCCTCGATTATATTTTTACGTCTTGCATAAAACAGATATTCAATCAGTTCATTTCTCTTGTCGTCTTGTACTACGCAAAATGATAAACATCAATTGATCTAATCCGTTGGCAAATAACCGAAAAATTGCAACTAATATGAAAAAGGACATGTGTCAACAAGTACTGATACTTGCTGTACTTCAACACAATATTATCAATTGAATTCAGGTTATATCAAACAATTGCATAGGAATGTTTTGCATTAGACTTGTTTCTTCGAAAATTTTCATGATAAGTAAATCTTGATGTTCTTATGAAACTAGAATAAAATCAAAGGATAATAATGAAAATAGTTTCTTAACTTGTAATAATTTGTTATCAATGTTTACAAAATTGATCTATAGAGAAGTTTGTTTTTTTTTTAATTTTTGAAGTTAGCAAAACTCACTGTATCACTTTCTAGTGTGCAATAGTTAAAAATAAATAAATAAAGATTTCGAATAAGTTTCTATACCAAAAATTATCATCAGTATAGTATAATCTCATTCTCTTGTCTTATTTATTGATGTTTTTTTTACAAGTGTTTTATCGATTTCTCTAGAATTATTTATCATTATTTTTGTCATTTTTACTAGCAAACCCTTTTTTTTTTCTTTTAATTGTCTAAGATACAGGTAAAAAACTAAATAAGATAATGTTCGTCGATTAAAGACTAATATGATAAAAGTTATATGTATTGAAATAAGTTCATTAATAACATTTTTTTTTAAACATTCATACTTTATCTAATATAATAAAAATAATTATAAAACTTGATTGTTGCAGATTCATTGACATAAAACATAGCGGTTTCTTCGAACTTTATTAAATCAACTACTTTTTTTTGTTTCATAAAGGCAATTATTTGAAGAAGAAATTTCCATTTAGTTTCAACTTTTGTATCTATAAGAATTCTTAAATTCAAAGTGTTTTTCTTATACAAAAACGAGTTTTATATATACACATATGTTAGTCTATATATTTAGCTGAGGTTCCGAAATGAACAATTTTGTGATATCTACAAATAGACTTGAAAGATGTTTTCAAAGATCTTTGCATTCATTTCAATACAATTTAAAAACTAAGTTTTTATTAATTTTAGTTAAAAAAAAACCAAAACTTAAGAATTATAAAATATCATGATTACTTTCTTTTGAAATTTTATCTTTTTGAATTCTTACATAACATGCATATTTTATTTATGTTCTTAGTGTACTGGCATTTTAATTCTATCAATTTAAGTAATGAAAAACGTATTGATTTCAATTTTTAGATTCAAATCTTCTTCATATCAACTATGAATAGTAATCAATTGAAAAAATTATGTCTACCACATGGTGTTATATATAGTTTATTGAGTATAATAATTATATGTCTTACTATATTAACTATTGTCTATGCTAGTTTATGGCGTAATAATCAAATTATTTCAAATAATTATGCAGTTGAAAATGGTATTATTGGTTCTCGTATTAGTTTACCTAATGATGGTCAATATATTCAATGGAATTTTTTACAAATGAATGATGTTTATGAATTATTACCACTTGATCGAGGACGTAAAGGTGGTTTAGCTCGTGTTGCTTATATAAGAAAATTATTAAAAGAAGAAAATTTTCATACATATACAATAGCTGCTGGTGATTTTCTTTCACCATCAGCATTAAGTTTATCAACAGTTAATGGTACAATATTAAATGGTAAACAAATGATTGCAACAATGAATATTCTTGGTGTTGATTATATGATATTTGGTAATCATGAATTTGATTTAACAGAAAATGATTTAATTACACGTATGAATGAATCAATATTTACATGGATTAATACAAATGTATTTTATCGTAATAATAATCAATTATTTGGTTCAAGTATATCACATAAAATACTTATTATTAATACAATAAGAATTCTTCTTATTGGTTTAACTATTGATAGAACAAGTAATTATGTACGAATAATAAATCAAACATCATTAATTAATTATGTTAAAAATTTTTTACAAACATTATCAAATACAACATATGATGTACTTGTTGCTATAACACATTTAGATATGTTAACAGATATTGAACTTGCAACAAAAATTCCACAAATTGATCTTATTATTGGTGGACATGAACATGATAATTATTATTATTTACGTGGAACAAAATATATACCTATTTATAAAGCTGATGCAAATGCATTTACTGTATTTATACATCGTTGTGCTTTTAATATAAATACAAAACGTTTTCGTATATATAGTACATTAATACAAATAACATCAGAAGTACCTGAAGAAATAAATACAAAAAAAATAGCAAATTATTGGTATAATTTAGGTATTCAAGGTTTTAAAGAATTAGGTTATGAACCAAATGCAATTGTATCATGTTTACCAATTGGTATTGAATTAGATGGTAGATCAACATCTGTTAGAAGTTTTACAACACTTTTAACTACTGAAATATGTGAAAGTATGTTACAATTAACAATATATAATAAAACAACTATTGGAATTATTAATGGAGGTACAGTACGTATTGATGATATACTTCGTGAAACAATAACACAATATGATATTATACGTACATTACCTTTTGAAAATCAAATTGTTGTTTTATCTGTTCCTGGATATTTACTTGCACAAGTTCTTACTAATGGTATATCTTTAAAAGGAAATGGAATGTTTATTGCTTATACAAGAATTGAAACATTTGATGATGGTAAAACATGGTTATTAAATGGAACTGATATATCAAAAAGTGGTTTTTATTATAATGTAGCAACAACAGCATATATACGAGATTTTACACAATTAAATAATACAGATGTTATTACTTTATATGATACAAATGTAACACAGACAAGAAGTTTAATGGATTATTTAACAATAAAATATCCTCCTTGTTAGCAACGGTATTTAATATTTATATTGTTAAAAGAAAAATGTATTTGAAAATTTTTTTTACTTTTGAAATGTAATTTTTTTATTATTTCAGATTAAATATTAAGAATATCATTTTCATAATAAAAAAAAAAAAAAAAACTATAAAATTATTTAAATTAAATTGAGATAATATATAGATATATCATTGTTGGCAATAAAGAGTATCATATTACAACTAAGATGAAAATAAAAGCAATTATTTTATTACTATATCAAGGCATAATACAATTCTAGACACCATTTTATTTTGTATACTATGTACTCAACTTTTATTTTCTAATGAAGTTGAATTATTTAGCATAGGTTTTTTTTTTGTTCTGATTCAATTCTATTGACTAGTTTTCTTTTTCATGTAGTTGAAGCATGTTTTAATAATACAACAAATAGATTAAGCAATGTTTTTCTTTTTTTTTTATATGTTAGTACAAAAATAATCAACTTTTATCTTTCCTAATATATATATGCTGCAAGGTTGGTTTTATTTTGAATTTTAAGCATATTGTTTATCGAAGAATAATGATGAATTCGAAATAATCATATATCTTTGCAAAAAAAAAAAGACAATTAATATTCTTAATATTAAAACATTAATCGCGATCGTCGAAAAACTTTATTGTAGTGAATAGAAAAAAAACGTGTGAGTGAAAGAGAAGTGAAGGTCTTACAACCATACAAATTAATGATCAATATCTTGATGGAAAATCATTCATTTTTGTCACATTTACGAATGATGACTAATAATATATGTTTAAAATAGTTTTCTCTCTAATATCAGAATCTTTAATCATTGCTCTATTGTTTATTTACTCTGAATTCACTAGTCCAAAAAAAAGTATTCTACAATTCCATGAAAAATCATCGGTAGCAAATCAATAAAAGTTGTAAGACATTTTTTTTTTATTAATTAAGCATTGCTTTATAGTTAATAATAAGGGTGTGAGTCTTCTTTTCACGCACACCCACATGTAACTCTTCAGTTTCTCCCATTTCGAATGTTGAACGTGTACTTTAACTATATATGTAAATTTTCTACTGTTTTTTGTTTCAAAAGTTGAACCTTAATTATACATATAACGTTATTCTACTCTTTCAGTTTTAAGTGTTGAAGCTGAATCCTAACCAAATGCTGATCCTTAATGATGTGTAGATTTTTTTTTGCTTTTTTCTTTGTCTATTACAAACATTTAATCTTAACTGCGCATCTTTTCCGACTGATATTATAACTGATGACACGCATTATCTATCGCTTGACAAAGAAATAATTCGAAAGGTTTCACGTTAATAAAACTTTTATTATTTATTTATTCTCTTTTTCTCTTCTTGATTGTTGTTTCTATTGTTTCTTTTTCTTGCTGTTCACAATCATTTTCATTGATACCAGTTTGCAAAGCAAATGACAACAATAAATAGACTGACGGGAATAACAATCAGCAATCTAAGAAAAGCAAGATCAACTTATTGTGTCGTTTAAGACATATTCGGTAGCTTATAAATGCTTACATAATACTGATGAGTGTGACACGATCAACCTGTGTTCCATGTGTATCGCCATGAATGTGTGAAATTGTTGTCTCGTACACGATGTGACCGCAGCAAAATGGTGTCCCTTCTTCATCTATAACAGTAGTTCATTATGTTCAGCGCTAGTTCATTGTAAGGTTATGTCAGATTTACCTTCACAACAATCATCAGCTTCACTGGTCTTGCATTGTATTTCTATTGGACACGTAGCTATTCTATTAGCAATATTGCATTTTCCAATGCTTGATCATTGAGCGTTCCAGGAATCAGTGTAAGAAGAAAATTTTTTTGACGACAATAAAATACCATTGGTATTTGATCGTCGGTTCTTATCAAAGAATCATCCATATCATTTGGATAAAAGAAATTATTTCCATCGCCATTATCATCTGAAATAATCAACTTGGATAAAATTATTGCGTCTCTGACTGGATGATCTAGCTTTTGCTTACATGGAAACTCGTTATATTCGTTTCTCGATTCATCTTCAGCGTAGAACTGTGTATTGTCATTTATAATGTTGTAGGCTCTAGTAGTATATTTTCGTCGTTGATAATATTTTTTGGCATAGTTAGTAGCAACTGGTAAATATTTTTTACCAGCTCTCACCTAGATGGATATGAACAAGAAGAATTATGAGTAAGAGTATTGTATAGACAATCTTACCCATTTACTTCCTGCCATTTTGTCGGCATTACCGGAGATGATGCTTTTAGTCGCCTTGGTAACTTCATCGCCTAGCGCAACTCTTTCTAAAAGCCTCAGTTTTGTTCGACGTCTTGTCTGATATTGACTTACGAAAATTATCAGTCAAATTGAACCTATTGCCACCTCGAAATGTTGAGTCTCGCAAAGTGGATGAGGATCCTTTAGAAAAAAAAAAAAGACAAATAAGATCAAAATCGAACGGAAACTACTCAATTACGACACACCTGTCGATGTCGTCAGCGATGAATGTCGAAAAAAATGTCGCACCGCTCCAGGTATGCGATGCTTCTGATTTGTCGATGTCGATGTACCTGCAATAACAGTGATTGTGGTTCATCGATCAAAATAAAAGTACGTACTGATGGATAAATCAAAATCGTTATTCGATGATGAGTGACCTAGATAGTAAAACATTCCAATGAACAATTCTCATTAACAAATATTTACGATGAAAGAATCGAAAGTGGCGCTTTGTTGTTGTCGATGATGGTGCCACAATTGAGGCTGTCGAATGGCTCCGAAAATCTAAGACAGAATAGAATAATCAAACAGCAAAATTTCGTACTTACGATGAAAGAATCCAAAGTGGCTCTTTGTTGTTTTTGCTGGTAGTACCTCGGTTGAGGCTGTCGAATGGCTCCGAAAATCTGAGACAGCATAGAATAATCAAACCGCAAATGTTCATACTTACGATGGAAGATTCGATAGTGCTTGCTCGATGTCAACATGGATCGAGTGTCTAATTACAACGATGTGATAAACTAAACAGAGAGACGAGTGCAAAAAACGTACAAGTAGTGGTGCTTGTTGATGGACGTAAGCTTGGTTTTGACAATGATGGCACAATATAGCGTACAAGCGAAGAAGCTCGACGAAATCGTTGCAATAGATTATTTACATCCTCATCTACAAGAATACACGTAGATATACCAATGTCAATTTCCTCTAAATTTGATTTGCATGAGCTTACCAGAATCAATACCAGTCAAGTCAAAATCGGGCAACAATTCAAGTTTTTTGTTGTTCAGTTTCGATTGAAATAAATAAATAGCATCGCATAGGGCGCGTATTCGTTGTAGTTTAAGGTTTGTATGACTGCTTTCGTCTTCATCACTTCGTCGATCGTCTAATATCTCACACATACGAGAATATTTTTCTAGATAGGCCATCGATTGAAAATGAAAGCTAATTAATATGAAGATGACAAATAAATTTCCACAACGACATAACATCATTTTGCTACTGTTTCTATTCACAAATTTGTTAAAGAATGAAAAAGAAATACAATTCTAAATGTTATTGAAAGATCGAAATTCTTATGTTTCTTTCAGTGTTTACTTTCGAATACTGTTTTGCAGTTGACATAAAATCGTTTTCTATCACAATTCGCCTTGAAAAAAATTCCATTCACGTGCGTTTTGCGTTGGATACCTCATTTCACTGCATTGTTTACAAAATTGCAGACAAAAGAAAACTCTTACACATATTAACATCTCACATTTCTGTCAGAGAATCGTTTGATCTCTGCTTTGATTTTATGTAACTGAAAGGAAAAAAAACAGAGTGTTCGAGCTCGTTGTGTACTGTTAGATTGTATTGGGTGTGGACGTTGATGTGAGTATCAGTATCATCTGTATGTACGACTATATATCATAGAACTTAATTCTGAATATAAATAAAAAGTTTTAACTAATGCAGTTTATTCTCTTATTATATATACATATGGAGATCAATAAGTTCTGAGAATTTTAAAAAGGAGCGTGTCGGATTTGGTGACCTATTCAAAATTAAAAATATAAACATGCCATGTTGTTGAGCAAGTCGAGGCGCGTCGAATGGTATATAACAAATCTTGTTTTCATAAGATTTTGAGGGAACTAGACTGAATTTACTGGTGGGCGGCCATCGAGTGGAAGCACCGACCATTGTGGACCTTGGCATCAGTCGAAAGTGTTTGTAAAAATAATTTTTCTATATACAGTTTTGTAGCACTTTTCACAGGCTACAAGCTCATGTACTCAGCATCTCCGATCGTCCTATCTTTGTTAGGGAAAAATGTGACTTTTCCATAATGCACCATCGTTTTCCACGGGTAGTGGTTGTTGATGAGTCTTTGAGTCCATGGGCATCTACCAGTAAATCCAATCTGGTTCCCTCAAAATCTTATGAAAACAAGATTTGCGATATACCGTTCGACGCGCCTCAACTTGCTCTACAACATGGTGCGTTTAGTTTTTTAATTCTGGAGAGGTTACCAAACTCGGCATAATCCTTTTTAGGATTCTCAGAACTTTTTGATTCCGCTAGTGAATAAAAAATAAAAGAATAAATTGCATTACTTAAAACTCTTTATTTATATTCGGTATCATCTGATTCATACCCACCACGATCCCCACACTCCACACCCTTTAAGATTGATATTATACTTTGAAATTATTGCTGTACATGATGTGTCCAAGTGAATGGCTTTTATTTCGTTGTATCTTTCTTGTTTTGAGTAAAATGGAGGGTACTTCGGTCCGTAGATCCAATCCTCATGGATTCTATGCGCTAATACTTTGTTATAAATTGTCTCTATGTTGGCTCGGACATTATTAAGGAATGATCTATAAACTATATTGACATATTGTTCGACTTGAAAGTTTAGAAATGCTGAAACCAATTGAAAAAAACTACTAAACAAATGAAACAATCTTTTGTAATCTATCATAGGCATACAGTAGTTCGTCGTTAGTAAAAAAAAGAAATATCGTGCATTTTATTACACAAAGAAAAAACTTAAAAATCAAACATGATTTTGAAATTAGACTTGTAAATTGCAAAGTCAAGATGTAGACAAACTTTAGTTTTACAACTCATTGGTTTATTTATTATGTGATAATGAATCAAGTAGATCTTATCCGTTTTCGACTTGTTTTAATTTGGGATAAGGTGAGCGTATCTTTATCGAGCCAAACTTGAATAGACGTACGATTGTTATCAACGATGAACTTTTTTCGTTTTCTCTCAAGCCATTCAATCATATCAACCAATAGAGCGTAGGAAGATTCGCGTTGTAGAAATGTAATAGTAGATATATGATGAATATGTTTGAAAGCCAATATCATATCTTTCATATTGGTGATTTCCAGTTTGAGATGATCAATTCGACCAGACACTACTGAATCTAGGTCGGCTATTCTCAATTTGAAATTGTCATGAAACTTTATACCAAGTGTTTGAATGTTTGATGTTTTTTGTAGTAGATTGTCGATTGTATCGAATTGAATTTGATTATTAGGTCCCTCAATTAACCAAAGTTCGTTGATACCAGACATATCGATCATTATCAAAAGACTTTCTAGTACATTCATTGAGAGTTTTCGATCGATTAAAATCTCAAAACGATTCGTGTTGCGGAATAAATGACGATCCGGTAGTTCAAGCTGAATAGCAAACAAAAATGAAGATAATGAAAAACAGCTTTTCTTCGAATGATTTTCATAGATTGAACAAAAATTCTAATATCTTCCTCTCTTTCCTTTGAAGTCTTACGCAATCAGTTCGAAAACTAAAAAACACATTGCCATTGTGATGAAAGTGTGTATTAGAAACTTAATAAGAATTTCTTCCAAATGATATCTTCTGAAAATCAAAAAGTTGTCGATCAACGTTCAACAATTAATAGAATAATGAAATGAGGGAGATTTCTTTACCATGTTATAGATGTAGAATGATATATTTGAGACAGAACACTCTTTCACGTTTCAATAATAAGTACGCTGTTCTTTTATTTTAGTCAAAACTGTTTTCTTAATTAATTACGAATTATTCGAGTTCAGCCAATACCTAATTCAATATTTAGAGAAATATCATCGAGTACTGAGAGATTTCTCGAACATTTGGTTACAATAATTTCTTATTACAGAAAGTAATTTTAAGACGATATGGAACACGGAAGAAACCATTTCTATCTAATCATACATACTTGATCTGTACCCATTCTTTGCTGTAACCAAATCACATCGAAATAAGCAGTCCATATAATATCACTGTTGATTTTATTGTCATAACTTGTCGTCGTAAATGCATAGGAAAATAGGTCATAATTAAGATAATCAGGAAATGCAATAGTCGAGTATTTTGCTGAGTAGAGACAGATTGTCTTGTCACCAAAACGTCTTGTATAAAGACACGTGACAAACCAACGTTTCTCCTGTAACCAGAACGTTGTACTAAATGGTGTTAGAAATGATTCAACATCTTGTAATTCAGAAAATGAAATACCAATATAAAAATAAAAATTTTTTAACAATGGCAATGTTTGGCGGATAAAATTTTCCCACTGTGATAGACGTTGTACAAATTCCCATGAACAATTCGTTGATGTTGTAAATTCGAGTGAAACTAGATGGGGTTGAAGAGATAGTAAGTATTCGAGTTCATCAATTGGCATATGAATATTTTTCAATGTAAGAGAAGTCAATGATTGAACTTTCGTTTGACAACGAGTTCTATCCACCATGAGCATATTCGTACGTTCCAAGGTCAATATTTGAAGATTTGGCGAATGATCAAGAATATCACATAATTGATAATAACTGCAATATTGAAGTGCTAACTTTTGTAAATTACACTTGCTAGGCCATGGTATTTTATTGATAATTTCACCACTAATATCCAACGTAAGTTGAGAAATATTTGGTAGGGTAATTATTTGTATGAGAAGATTACTTTGATTATCAAACCATGTTTTACATTCACTCATTTTTATTGTTATACATTCGAGAGTAGACATGCTCAGAAGAGGAGTAATAAGTGTTTGAAAGTCATCTTCGTTGATATCGATGAGTGTCAATGAACTAAGTCGAGTGAATTGATAAAGACAGACAGATGAAAGAAAACATTTGATTGGGTCCGAATCGAAATATGAGTTTTGTAAGTTCAATGAAATAACATTTTCGAATTGAATTATACGACATAATCGTTGAATATCGAACTTTGATGTTTGATATGTAAAATTGATTCTCAATCGATTATAATTATTTATAATCGTATAAAGTCTTTTACAAACAAGACGAAGTGAGAAATAAATATCATTGGCATTGAGCAGATCGAAAATCAGATAGAGAATTTCAGTAGGTAGAATTGTCATTGACATATTTGATTTTGTAATGATGAAATGGATGATAGATTTATATGTCAGAAAAGAAGAAAAAGAAAAATGTTAATGGCAAGCGTTTGTTTTGTTTTATTTCTATTGGTTTTTTCTTGTTTCGAAGTATCGATGACTTTCGCAAATAAATAGACTAATGTGCGTCACTATTTGGTCTTCAATGTTGGAAATATTGCTGCAGACGATGTCATGTATATTCATCATTGTCGAAATATATTGAGTAATACTTTATGTAATAAAAATTGTTTCGTTCTTAATACTATGCAATATTTATTTTAACCCTCTACTCCTGATGGGACTTTAAGGGATGTATGATTCAAACAACAAATTGCACATGAGATAGAGAAAAGAAAACAGAACGGGAGCAGAGAGAACATAGCAGAATGATATACATATTTTCTGCATCCACTTAACAAAACATTGAAATATGACTTTTCAACATTACACATGCAATTCACAAATACGATCAACAAATTGCTCAAGTTACTGTGTAAGACTTTGTGCTTGGACAGTTTGCTTTTGTGCGGAGAGGAGGTATCGAACCTCATAAGCTCTGGTTTCGAATTGGAAATGTACTTCACTCGACGAGAATTTCCCTCTACAGTTGTTTCGTTTTGTATGATGAATATGCTGCAAAACAAACTGATTCAGAAAATTAACTGTATTTTATATCGACGATATGCGTTACTTGAATATATCGAATAGTATTATTCAAATTGAATTTAAGTTCTTGTCTTCAATGAGAGAAATTCATTTCGAGAATATTTGAAATGCATCAGAATGTGAGTTCGAATATACTCTACATTCACACCCACACTCAAAATGGTAAATGATAAATCTATTTCTCTCAAGATTGAATCAAATCTAATGTTCTTTTTAGTTCATGGTGGCATGAGCAGTGGTATTCATGGCAAATGTTCTAGTGATGAAGAACTTCTTCGCTATTTTGCTTTACAAGTTATTTATCTTTATCCATAATGAATAAGATTAATATTCTCAATTATCCAAACCTTCGTATTTTGACATTTCGTAACCTACTTCAACTGAACTTGACATATTTTGAGAATCCAATTTTTCTCAGCTCGAATATCTTGTTTTTGTTGAAACAAGAGATCTTCCTTAAGAAAATCTTTGTCAATTCAAAAAACTGTGTTCGTGTAAACTATGTTCACTTAAAATTCGTAATAAACAATCATGTTTGTCATCATTGATTCTTCACCAATGTGATCGTTCGATTTTAGCTTATTTGTTTCGTTATCTTCCTCAAATGACTTCTTTCTAAGTAAGTATTTTATTGAATAATGATAATGTCAACAAAATCGATTCAACTGCTGTTATTATTCAACCTAATCTTATGTCATTTGACATTCATATGGTCAATAATTAATCTTCTGTTAATAAAATAAATGCTGACACATTTGACTTTGTTCTAGCGGTACTGCCCCATCTATTATCTCACAATCGTATTCATTAATTGTAATTGTTCAATCGATTCCCATTAAGAAACAATGATGATGATAATACTGTTGTATATCAGTCAAAATGGACGAATACTAATGAAACTTTTTTGAAGTAGTCGTTGGTGCAAGAAATACATGTGTAAATCATTATATGCGCGAGTTTATTTAGAATCCATTAATCAGTGGTTCCAAAAACTACGAAAACTCAGCTACTGAGGAGAACATCGTGAATGCTTAAGATCGAGACATCGAATTGCTGAATGAGATGATTACACATTGGTAAATACAAAGCTAGGGTCTACTTTGAAGTTTGTAACGAGAAGAGCGTTTTTCAGAATAAAATAATAATTGAAACATGGCTTTCAAGTGAAATATTCCTTCATGAATAGATTGGCATGATGGATGTAGTTATATTCTTTCCCGATACCCACACCCTCAAGATGACCTTCACTATGGATTAACAGTTCTCTCTGTCTACGAATTTAATATTCGTCTGAGAATGAAATTCACAATTCAATGAGAAAAATGCAAAATTTTTTGTTACATATAGCGCCGTATAGAATGTAATTTCATGGTTATCGCAATATTGTCTAAGTTATATACTAGCAGAAGCGAAGAGCCAATCAAAATGAATATATTAAACGAAACACATTTGCACAATTCAATTTAATTTTGATACAATTTATTGAATATACAAATCGTGCTAACGATTTTCTTTTTCTAAAGCTTAAAATTGAGTACAAAGTAGTATGTGACGTTTCGGTTAAATTAATTTCTTCTATGGAAATCCATGGAAGTTGAGTTTAATCATTTTGTTTTTATTTTACAAGTTTAAGAAGCAAAACTTTTTTCAATTTCATACTTCGATACTTTATCATTCCATATGCATAGTACAGATTTCTATAGAAGATAAAGAAAAATGACTATTCCATATAAATAATCCAAAAGAAAGATAGGATTCAATCTCTTGACAAGTTTTAGTATCCAATTGGCATGTACTAAACTGAAAGGGTTATTGTGTGCAAATATGTGTTTTTTCGTGTTATTAGAAAAAAGAACGATGAAGTTACAATTCAACTAATCGAGTATTGATCTCTATTAAAAGTTTTATACCCTGTTGAATTAATGGCAAACTATATCAATTCTTTTTCTCGCGAGAGCATATAAAACACGACTCCCTGCATCGAGAGAAATGCTCGTTTTCATGACTATTACCTATATTCGTCTTTTTTATATGAATGATGAGAAAGAAAGAAAATATTATTATCAATCATCATCCATGCTACGTTTTTTTTTCTTAATTTTTTGTTAGTGAATTTGACATAGTAAATTCTTTCCAACAAACAGTAAGACCATTGTGTTGTTTTCATTGGTAACAGAAGTTGACAATTAAAAGAAAAGCATTTTGTTTTGCCAAACCACTAAAACAACAACATAACACCGCAATCAGTGTAGAAAAAAAAATGAACAAAAACGTTTTCCATTTATTGTTTTATTCTTTGAAGCATGCTGTTTACATAAGAATCAATCAATTTCTCAATAGTTTCGATACTCATTCGATTGTAAATCAGAGTAGAAGTTGTGATTTGATGTACAGATCTTCGGTAACGACTTTTTTTTTGACGATTTCCTTTCTATTTTGAAAAAATAAAATTGCAATACAATGAATGATTGTAAATCTGTACCAATTTACGGATTACGTTTCTAAAAAAAAAGCAATCACAGATTTTTCAGTGAAAACCGTCAATTTTTTATGCATATTTTTCTCTTTTCTACGATATAGTTTATTGACTTCAAATTGTAAATTTTGACTTTACTCTATTAATCAATCGATTATGAACAATAGTAACAACCAATATGGGCAAACACCAAGATACATGGAAACTCAACCGAATGGTCAAGTTTTTCACCAACCGCCCACTGTTCCACCTAATGTAGGAATGAGCTATGTCACTCCACAAGCGCCATTATCATACAATAACACATCGTCAAATAATCAATGGTCGAATTATGTAAATCAACCATCAAACAACAAACGTATGTGTCCGTTTTATTGTTTTTAAGAGAAATAGTCGTTATTGATTCGTTTAGAATGGTGGCAATATGTCGGACCATACAATCCTTATCGTACAACATATCAAGATTATGGTCCTCCAAAAAACCAATCTTATCCTACGTCCAACATCTACTATATGCCACCAAATACCTATAGACAAGTATGCATTTCCCAATTCATTCTGCTTTTTTTATTACACATGTTTTTTTCATACTGTTTAATTCTCAGGGTCTCAATATGAATGTTGGCAGTGGAAATTTGTCTGAAACAATGTCTTACTCAACGAACAGTTCAATGCCTTACAATTCACCTCGATCTCCACAATATATGTGATAGTGAACATGTTTTTAGTGATGCAAGAACGATGAAATATTTCTAGTGATTTTTTTTGTCTTATGTAGAATGGATTTGTTGATTTGATCTCTATATCCAAGCTTTCCATAGTATTTCAAATAGAACATACGATCACGAGAAGTTTCATCAAAGCTTGATAATTCTTTTTAATATGATACGTGCTCACAGCTATATACAGTAGAATTTCAAACAGATCATCAACCAGTCGTGTTTTTCCTTCTCTTAACTTTCCATAGTAATCTTCGCAATCGGAGTATGAGAAATATGGGTATGGATGATAAATGTGGGGTGTCAGTACTGAATATAGTTCTGGATGAGACGGTAGGGAGTGCTTTCAAGATAAGATCTACCTACACACCCTTATCTCAATATTCTGAACTCTGAAGATCTAGAAATATGAAGGATGTGAGTATGAGTGTGCTGAAATATCATCATAATTAATTGATGTCTGATAAATAAATAAATCCCACTTTGAGTACGGGATTATTTATATGTAGTAAAAGTTTTGACTATAAAAAAATAATTTCGGATCAAAAGAGTTAAGGCCGTCTACGAAAGTCAAACTTTAGAAATTATTCCATTCACATATTTTAACTAAAGAAAAAGCTTAAGTTACAATGTTTTTTTGTGATGTTTATAGTTATATCACGTAAAATACTATTTGACATTTAAATTATCATACTATTTGTTAGTCATGATTTTGCCAGTATTTACTCATAAATGAATCCAAATATCTGCGATCATGATAAATTGATACTACTTTGTCACAATTTATCTATATCTAACCATGTTTCACTTTAATTCTCATTCCATGTTTAATACTATACTATTTTAAATGCTTCGTGGAGCTGTAAAATTTGTCGTGCATTTCTTATAGATAAGCAAGGTATGATATTCTGATTTACCGGCTACTATTATTCCCAATAAAGAGAAAAACAAAGAAATCTACGGTGGTCTCAGAATATTGATAAAGTATTTTTTAATTTTTTGTCATTTTTCTACAGTTATGAGTGTATTTCCATAGGATCTGAACAACGTTCGACAAACGTGATTTTCTATTTGTATAAAGTTGCCATTATCTTTAGGGCTCTTAGTTCTATGCGTTTATATAAACAATTGGTCTCAAAAGGTTTTTGTTTTGACAGACAGAATCAGAACAATAAAGCAGTGAAAGGATGTGGATGTGGGTATATTCTGTCTCGACATCTACATCCACTTTCTGCTTTTCATTAGCCAATGTATTTTAAGTGTATGTTCATCAAAACAAGTTTCTTATAATATAACAGTTAAATCAATATTTTAAAAACTCGACACTGTAGTCATGTTGTGAATTATAGCAAATCAAAGTCCAAAATCATTTTCGGACAGTATAAGGAAGATCCTGTAGTTGAAAATCTAAATAGAATAACATTGACTTGTTACTCTCTGTCTTGAATCTTAAAGGTAAAAACAATGTGGATTAAAACGATTAGCATGTTGCAAAAGTAAAATATATTTTCTATAACAATTTGTACCGGATAACCAACATATAAATTCAAATTATGAAGAATGTTTTCTACTGTTAGATATTCTTTGAATTTCCAGCCTCTTTAGTGCACAAAACAACGAGAAAATTCTTGTTCAAAATTAAACTATAATATAATAGCTACGGTTTCTTGCAAAAAATACTTTTCAAAAAATAAAGTAGAAAAACCACATTTTTAATTGGTTTTTATATTATTTACATCTTTTCAGAATAAATTGAAAATAGTTTAGTGACACGACTTAGAATCACACTTGGATAATACACACTGTTTTGGATATGTGGCTCATTCGTGGTTTGATATTCTGGTTTATTGTTTTTGAATATATCGACACAAGTCCAGGTAATGCTATAAATCTTGTGCTTTATAGATCTTCATGAATGTTAATTTCTAAGATAAAAAAACAATCCTTTCATTTATGACAAACACTAATGAGATAGCTTCACCACTGTTTGATATTCCCTATGTGAAACATCGAACTAAGAGGAAACAGTTATGAAATTGAGAAGTGTCGAAGCATGTAAATGAGCCATTCCAAAATTATGAAAAGTTCTTTTTTTT